ATTTTTATTGTTTCTGGGATTATAGCTGGGTTCCTGTGTTATTCCTTTAAGGGCATCTTTACCTTGAACAGTGCTGCCGAATAGGACATCTTGCTTCATTAAGCTTAGCATTTTGCCTCTGGCTTCTGATTCTGTGGTTCAGCTTTTTCATTTGAAATAACAGTAAGCTTTGGATTTGCTACTGATTTCAATGGCACTTAAAAAACATCTCTTCACAGGGCAGGATTCATTTCCTGCTTCTGCACTTCTGATCCATCTTATCCATCATCCTTTTTTTTTTAACTTTCTCCCACTCCATTCATTTATCTCTTATGGACATGAAACAACTAAAGCATAGGTTCAACATACATAATTTCTGTATGCTGTTTCTGCCTGTCCAGGTTTTCTAGGCCCACCATTTCCATTGTGTCGTTCCTTGCCCTGAATGTTCTCTTCTGTAAAGGATGGTTATTCTCTACCTTTTGACAATCTCATTTCCTCAATGAGCCTCTCGTGGAAATTCTGTCCATTGAATAGTATTGGCATTCTTCCCTAGGACTTTGGAGTAGATAAAGAGTGTTAGTGTGCCTGGACCTGTGTAAAACTTAAATATAGACTGAGCACTTTTATTACTTAAGTTCCTGTTCTCCTACAAAGGTAATTCTGGAGATTTCTTTCTCATCTACTATATATTTTAGAGTCCGTGTGTCTGCCTGTGTGTCTGTTCCTCTGTCTCTGAGTCCTTTTGTTCAAGAACTCAGTAAGAGCTAGGACTACCACATTTCGTATGCAGTTTCCTTTTATCATAACTTAAAGCAAGGTCCTGGGTTGGTTGTGCCAGGACAAAGAGATGTGTGTGGAATGCAATTGTTTCTCATCAATGGAAAGGGAGGAGTGTGATAGCCAGGGACAGTTATACTCAAGAATGATCACAGGGGGGCAGCAAGCATAAGGGATAGTTATACTCACAAATGACCATGGAGGGCAGCAAGCACCTCAGCACTGGGGTGCAGCCACTGGCTGGCAGCACAGCCCCTGCCATCCCAGCCTGTCCCAAGGAGGGAAACCCCCAGCAGCCTGGGCTGCCCCTGGGCCACCACACCACATGGTGCCCACTGCCCTGAACTGCCGCTGGGAAGCAGTGCCTGACTGTGTCATGTGGCTCCCTCCACCCTGAGCTGAGCTGTGGGAAAAGCTTTGGGTGGCTTGTGCGCTCCCCCCCTTCCCTGGGCCAGCCCCAGGGAGAAGCCAGTGGGTAGCCTGCATGGCCCCTCCCCACCTCCTGCCCCAGGCCAGACCTGGACCTGGGAAACACTTGGTAAGTCTTCTAGTAAGAACACAAGATAAGACTTGCTTTTAAATTCACCCATCCCCATAACCAAACTATGGGCTAGATCAGCCAACCCGCAGCCCATGAGCCGCATGCAGCTCTTGCCCCCCTAAAGTA